GAAAGGGGGTCAAACACCGTATTAGTATGGTGTTCCTAATAATCCTTTAGGTGAGTGTATAACAGCAGGCCTGAATTAACATTTTTTCTGTTTTTTTTTCCAGGTGGGACCCCCTATCCTGGTATGGTAGTGGACTCAACCTTCTACAACAAGATCAAAAGCGGCTATAGGATGGCCAAACCTGAGCATGCCACTAGTGACGTGTATGTCCATACTTATCCTATAATGCAGCTCTCTTTACACCCCATTACACACATCTAGAAGGCCTACTGTACTACACATCATTACAGTAAACCACATTACATTACAGCACAGTGCATAAGAGTACAACAGCACATACTGCACTGCACTATATGTAATATGTAACCCCTACCTCTATGACTACAGGTATGAGATGATGATGAAGTGCTGGAACAGTGAACCCAAGAAGAGACCCTCCTTCTTCAGCCTCAGTGAAACCGTCGCCTCTTTGCTGCCTTCCGAGTACAAAAAGGTGGGTCTCTCTCAAATCCAGCTCTACAGCCAAACAGGACCCCATCTGTCGCCTCAAAGCCCTTTGATGAGCTCAGCTCCTCTCCGTAACACCTACCTATTCTTTTAGCTTTACTTCCAGTCTGTTACTGTCACTTCCTGTCTGACACTCACCTCCTACTTGCTTCTTACAACCTCTGTATTATTGGAGGGTCAGGCTAAGAGGACAGAATTCCCAGACTTGCTTGCAGAAGTAGACCAGGTGTGTAGGGACCCCATAGCACAGTGGTTCTAAAACTTTTTTATTTTTAAGCCTCACATATCCAGAATATCATGCCATGGCCCCTCCCATGACTTGGCGACCCCCCAGGAAGTCACGACCCATAGTTTGAGAGCCACTGCTACAAGGCCTATTCGGTACATGGCTCATGTGACGAGGCTGGCAAGCAGCTGTGTTAATGATGGGATGTTCTTTAGGAGGCGAGCCGATGTTCGTAATTACTACAGGAAGCCCTGCATCATCAGCAGCACATGGCGGGCGGACTGCATGCCGCCACATCGATAAGACCTTTGGGCCTTTTATGATTCGGGGGAGTGGAGTAATTAGCTTTTACTATAACACCGCTCGGTATTTGGTGTGGTTTCCCTGGGAAACGCACCCTGGATTTACACACGCCCTGTAATGGCAAGCAGCTGCGACTCTCATCAAGTCGCCACGGCGATGCTGAGAGCCTGTCGTTTGGTGCGCAGTGCTATGAGCGCGTCCACCACGAGTTCCTGCGGAGCGACCACCCGGCGGTGACGCGTGTGCAGGTGGACGGTCTGGACGCCTACGTGGGGATGCCCTACAAGAACCAGGGCAAGCTGAAGGAGCGGGAAAGTGGCTTCGGCGAGCAGCGACTCAGCTCCGACAGCGGATACATCATCCCCCTGCCCGACCTGGACCCCATGTCTGATGACGAGTACAGCAAGAGGAACCGTCACAGGTGCGTAGAGTGACCGCTGCCATAAGCACCACGGCACCCTAACCCTGTCCTGATCGGCCCATGAAGCCTAGTTCATGCTTCTCTTTTCCGCGTGTGCTTTTGTGTGCTTTCGGACTGGAGAGGGTCGTACGTGTGACAGCTTGAGTTCACACTACGTTTGGCTGCAGATGCGATTGCAGATGTGAATGCGGATGTGAATTCGGATGTGAATGTGGTGCATGCATACAGCAGTGATATTCCACCAGATCAGGAGGGAGATATATTGCAACAAACAGAAATACAAGCAGTGTAGTGAAATGGGTACATTTATGAACAGTTTACAAGGTATTAGTCAAGGCTTGGGGGGTGCCATCTTTTGAGGGGGGGCCGACTTAGCAAGCCAGCTTCATTTTGTCTCAGACAGGGGGCACCAGCGGTGAAACTAACCCACTTACTGCCACAACCCATACTGACACCCTCTTCCTCTAAATGCCACCTCTAAGCTGTTCCTCGTAATAGTAATGTCTTTGCTCTTAAGTCTACAAATGCCACGTTTTGAGTGGCCACAGCCACACTACCTGCACTGCTGTCCCAAAAGTACTGCTTCAAGCAGGTTCTGATCCCAATCCCTCTCTTGTTCCTTCTCTAGTTCCCAGACGTCGGAGGAGAGCGCCATTGAGACCGGCTCCAGCAGCTCTGCCTTCGGCAGGAGGGAGGCTGAGATGCTGGAAGATTCTGAGATGCTGGAGCTGTGCCTAGATTCAGGAGACATGACAGAGGACAGCTTTCTGTAAACTCCACAGAGCTACACCCAAAACCCCCTCCATTCCCCTTCTCCAGGACAGGCCGGCTGCTGAGAGTCTAAGACCCAGTGCAGAGCATAAACCACTTTTCTCTGTGACCCAAGGCCTGTTCTCCAGGTGCCCCAGGAACAGAAATCATGGGCGCCTCTTCAATGGTGACGAGTCATGGACTGCGGATGAACTTTGACCCCTGCCAAGTCACGCTCTGCATGATTGGATCATCTCCTCTGGCACATTGTGATGTCCTGTTCGTTTTGGGGCATTGAGCACATAAGGATGAAGAGGACATCTTAAATGTACAGCATCTATTCTGTGGGCATTTTAAATCCAGCGATATAAGCGACAGAGGAATCGGAGGCAAGGAACAGAGAACCAAAATCACGCTGAACCCCCAAAGACTGACAGTTCCTGGAAGCAATGACTGAACTGATTGAGAACCACTAAACCCAAAAGCATCATACAAACAATTCCACTGTCTTGGTAAGAAGAAACATCTCTAAAGATGGCTAAACCATGGAAAGGGCAATTTGTGACATCCTTCCCTTAGTCCACACAACACCCACTGCTCTTCCAAAAGCTAGCTGACTGAAGAAACCGTGATGCAATATTAAAAGCACAAAGTTTCACTACATTGTGTTCGCGTGTGTGAGATTATATGTCAGCAGCCAATTAAGCGCAGCAGGCAGATTTATTTTTTTACTTTTGATCTTTATCATACCTATGAAAATGTAACATTTGTTAATACTTCTGTGGAGTGAGCATTATTTGGGTGAAAGATGTGGCTATATTGTAAAAGCTTTTATGTCGTTGATGTTATTATAATGGTAACTGCCTTGTCCTGATTAGAAGTAAACAAACGATTTTCACCTAAAGGTACTTTTTAAGGCAAAAATATCCATTGATGATGATAATAATAATAATAATAATTATTATTATTATTATTATTATTATTATTATTAACACAATAGAAATAACTTCATTTCAGGTCCATATGACAAACATTCCAGAATTTGCCTTTATATAAAACACATTTAAACCAAATATTATACACAAAAGCATTTAATCTACTTGTTAAACAAACTTTTATTACAGACTTTAAAAATACTGTTACATGTAGGAACCCAACCACAAATTTCCATCTCAATGAGACCATTCATGTTTCTGTTTAAGATACCTAATTGTACGTGACTGTCGTTTTGAAACTCAGTCTAAAGACTTGTGCTTGAACCTCTATGGATGCCAAAATATGCAACTACGTCAACTGAACCACAATGCCGATAGACAATTAGAGTCATTAGCTCTAGACAATCAATAACGGACTTGTCGCTGATCCAGTTCGAAGGATGAACATTTACCCTGTTGCCATTGGATGCCAGGCATTCATTTCCTTTTCCCAGAAGACGTCAAGCATACAGGACCACCAAAGAACCTTCTGCCTGGATCCAGGCAATGAGGGAAGCCGTCTGGATTGATAACAGTCCTGAATGCATTCCAGGTGTTAAATGCCTTTGTGAAACAGTCTAGCAACAGATTTGTGGAAACTAACAATGTTTTTCCCAGATGTGGATATAAGGAACATCCAAAACTCCTACAAAGCCAAGTAATCTACCAGTCTGGAATGGGCAGTGCTAGATATGTACAGAAATGTGTTTTACCTGCTGGAAAAAAAGACTAGTTAAGTACAACGCGATGTCATACATCGATGAGTATATTTGCGTATACTGCCCTATTTACCTTTAGCTATGTCACTGCCTCTATTGTGCCATTGACGACTGTGATGTACTCTACGGGCACTAAGAAACTTGCACTTTTTAAAAACTTTCCTTCTTTGGCGAGAGACAAGGTTTGGACTTGCGTAGAAAGTTTTCCTTTCAACGGCGTGACAGGGACGGGAACATTGGAAAGAGTGACCGTTGATCTTTACAGAAGGTACAATGCTTGTAATTATAGACAGCTTCTCAATTACAGATGTATCCTTTTGTTTTGTTATTCAATATGTACATTCAGATGATCTATATTTCAATAAATGATTTAATAAAGTCCTTTTGCCTTTAATTTATTCACAGCTTACGAGGCAGTATGACGCCTTTACAGTTCTCAGTTTGCCTCCATCGTGAAAAGCGGAAAAAGGTTATTTTATAGACTGCAAATTCAGAACTTAAGATACGGAATGGAAAAATGCATTGCTTTTTTAATCATTCGGGTGCAGAGTTATGGGAAACAATATCTTTCACGCTTTGAATTATGAAGATGAACTGCCTGAGCGGTGGGAGTGTCAGTTTCTGTCTGAACCTGATTCTATCATTTTTCACTCCGGTTTTTGCTGGAGTAATTGTTTTTCTGTACCAGTAAATGTGGAAAAAATAGCATCATATATCACAAATAACAAGACTAGCTTTCACTGAAGTAAAACGTACATTAACAGGAAAACCACAAATTAAACACAGTAACACGGATCAATACACAGGGCAACCATGGCCATTATCCGCGAGGGAGTCGGTCCACACCATCTCTGCCTTCGTTTATATATTTTAATTAAGCAATAATCAGTCCAGTTTGAAATAGGCAACGCTTAAATTATATCGCTGACCTGTAATTTCAATAGGAGCGTTGTGTCGGTTTCATTGTGTTTTATGTAAATTTATTTCATTTCGATAGCAGGACAAAGCACTGTTAATTTATTGCGGTCATTGCGATAGACAATGAAAACGCAAACTTTACTCTGAATTCAGCGACTTTCAGGCCTAGTCACCATTTCTACAACCGTTATTGTTCTGTATATTCCTTAGAGACAGCATTTCTGACAGTTATTGGCGTTATTCTGCGATTAGGGGAGGAACACGGGTTCGAAACACAAGGCAGACAGTATCACTACTTGGACAATCCACTGTAGTCAGGGCCGGTCAACCGATTAGGCGACACAGGCTTGTCGCCAGGGCTTTGACCGGCACTTATCGCAGGTTTCAAAGCATCTTCCCCCCTAAATGAGTGCTTACATCTTCTCCAGAAAGCCCGGAGTCATCCTTGACTTTGTTACTCCCCCAATGCACCTCTTCCCTGGGTCCTGCACATTCACAAAACCAATACAGCCGCTCTCTGGCCCCCATCCCGGCATGGTTACTTAAATCTTCCTGCTAGACTCTGCATGTCAGTCGTAGTTCCAGTAACACTTACTCAGGTATCTGTTTCTGGGCTTGAGTTTTCTGCTTGAGGTTACATGCCCAGCGCTGTTCCTTCTGAACCTCGTGTTAAATTCTCCTATCTTTTCCCATTTGCGTCACAATGGCGCCCTCTGTCTGGAATCCTGTGGCCTTCTTTTGCTCAGTTTTAATATCTAGTGAGTTCTTTAAAGACTTAGGAACCACAAGTGATTATTTTTTACGTCCATACCAAGGACCAGTGTTCAGACTACAGCAATAACAGAACGTAATTGTGACTGGACAGCTAACCACCTACCTGTCTATAGCAACGTTTTTATCGTCGGGAACACGATTCTTTTTTTGCCGTGTACATGCATATTCAAAATGACGTGAAATGCACATTTTCATCAATAGAGGGAGACATAGCACAAGAAAAGATTTGATTAGGCCAAGGTTTTCGTTTTCAACAAAAGATATGGCTTTAATAAAAGGTGTACATTTAAAATAAAATTAAGCAATACATTTTAAATAAGACACATAACTAAAATAAATGTAAGAAATGTATTTTTAAAATCATAGTCTAATGGAAAGTAATATGTTAAAGGATGTAGTGTGATCCTGGTAGGTCTCTCTTGTAGGATGGCAACACAGGCTTGGGGGGTGGATGACTTAGGCTAGGCGATGCCCTTGAAACGAAATGGAGAAGATCAGATGACCCACATTGATTCATGTAGGACAGATATCGCCTGGGAGGTGTCAGAGTGTGTTTTGGCTACAGTTTTGTCTTGCTGGGTTTCTAAGGGTTAATTCTGCATGGAACTTGGATGATGAGATCAATATGCAGTTGGGAAGTTCAATCTGTGACGTTTGATGGTATTGCATTCTGTGAACACACTAAAGGAGCCACAACTGGATTTACAGCAATATTCTATTCACAAACCTTGATAGTCTGCTATTAATTCAATTGTAAGCAGGCACACATCCAGGTAGTAAAAATATGGGCTTGAAGTCCCCGCCCCACCCCCGAGTGCCAAAATGACATACCAAGGGAGACTTCCCCCAGGTCAACAAATTCTGACAACACCCCCCACACCCCACACACATTTTATTTTAGACTCTCTATAGCTAAAGCTTTAGCCAACTCATTAGATACTACTCAGATACTCTCAGGAGTTAAGATTTTAACCTCATTATTAGATACCACTGAGATACTCTCTGCAGCTAAGGTTGTGGTATCATTAGTTAATAATACTGAGGTGGTCTGTGGACCTTACAGCTGTCAATTATGTACCATGCTGGCCGAATTAGTAGCTCTGGGCAATAATTATGGGATGTTCAGTGCAGAAGAAGCTTCATGGAGTTCCTGGCTTCTACACAATAGAAGGTGCACATGGAGTTCTTGTTTTTCTGTTATTGTTTTGTGAACTGGGATCCTGGAACCTTTCCTATTTCACAATATTATCATATTTACATCAGGAGCCTCAGAGCTAAATGGTGCTCAGTTGGCTAAGAATATGTACACAAAACTTAATTTTCCATAAATGCATGCATTGCTTTAGCACTTAGCAAATATCCAAGGACACGCCCACTCTCATACCCATTGTGAGAACACACTCCTTTTATGATGGAAAAAGGCGAGTTGTACCGAGACCATGGCTTTGTCTTATGATCTGCAGAGGTGGACATTTCAGGTCCAGAAAGTTTGCCCCAGTGTTTATACCAAAAACGTTTATTATTTTTACATTAGAAGAGGAAAACAGAGACCCAGAATTAATGCCCAACTGAGTGTGGTAAATATGAGAACTCAGCAAACATGTACTGTTTGAAGAACACTGTAATGAGTCATGAACAGATCAACAATCGGACCCAAAGAACTAGCCTCTAACTAGGGAGGAGATCGGAGGGTCAGGTGGACATGGGGGACTCATTCTCATATATAAGCCATAATGTTTATTTATTAATTCTTTTTTGATAACTGAGTAGTGCAACACACACATATGGACACACCTGAAAATCATTTGACTTTATGCACATAAGGTACTGCAAAAGGGGGTTATTTTGAAGTGCTTGAAACTTCAGAAAATGTTGACATGTTGGACACTTCTCTTGGTTTTTGCAATATGTGATATGTATTACTTCATTGCTGCGATGCCTTTTACTATAAGTTGAGTAACATAGATAAAACAGAGAAAAATGCAGTAAAGGCAGGCGTGTCCAGACTACTATATATGTGTGTGTGTTTGCGTGTGTGTATGTGGGTGTGTAAATATGTAGACCTGTGAATGTATGAATGCCTGTAAGTTTCATTTTTATGGATCCTGCTAGTAAATTTTGTTGTACTTATGTAACCCACCAGCACAATGGCAAATAAAAATTCTCTGTCCTTTAAACAAAAATCCTTTGAATTCCTGTAAAGCATTTTCAGACAGACTTGCTGCAAATGCACTATGTGAAATTTGATTGGCAGATTGATTGATTGATGTTTAACAACAGCACCATGTAATACAATCACGTGGCTTTAATAGAGAGCAGCCACGAGGGTTATGCTGTTATGCAAAACTGAAACCAAAACACTCTGGAGCAGTACAGTGGAAGCATTCAACCGGAGAGAAACTGTTGGTTAGCAGGGCCACAAACCCAGACCTGCAGGGCTAGAGGACTAGAGGCCCTCAGGGATAAATTATATCAGCGGCAGAAAGTCCCATGAAAGTCAAATGAAAGCCAGAACAAAGGCCATAGGAATTCTGGGACATGTCGGACAGATATGGTGCCTCTAGTAACAGACTTGCATATCGGCGCATGCAAAGCACCGGTGACAGTTTTGCATTGTGATAGCAGTGTTCTAGCAATAGGGAAATGTGTCTCCGGCGCTACCGTTGCCATGACATCGCTCTGTGTCTGATTCCGAGCTCCCAGAGATCCGTGTGTCTGGCGTCTGTCCAGCAGCTATGACACCGACACACATTGGCCTGTGTGTCGACTTAACGGTGAGCCTCTGGGCCCCAGGAAACAGGTTCCTTTCCCTAAAATGTCAAACCGGTATCAGCCAGAGATGGAAGAGTGACATAACAGACAGTGGTTCAGCCTGATATGAATATGAAGCCTCCCCCCTGGGGGAAACGGATATGATCAACCGGAAAAAAAGGAAAACCCCTACAATGCAAACCTGCCGCGCCAGTCAACCCATTTGGCGATACAGGCTGGATGGGAACACGCCATTTTCTAAGGGGGTGCCGACCCTGCAAGCCCATTTCCCTTAGTGTCAGACAGGGGGCACCAGTGGGGAAGCTTTCCTTCAACTGGCACTGCAGTCCCATCACAATTTTTATCTATAGAGCCCACATCTCGCTCCTGCTCATGTTAAATGGATCCTGACCACAGAGATGTTTGGGGGTCAAGCATTCGTTGTTTATAACGTTAACACTGCTGTGGTGACCCCTGCTGGCTCGTTGTCGCATTGTTTTGTTGGTGTCTCGGATCTACCTCGTGGGTTATGATTAACCTCTACAACCTCCATGTTTATTCAGGTGCACTAGCTTAGTTCGCTATAACTGCTCCATGTTCCTGTCTCGACTTCATAATTGATACAGCACTTTGCCTTCCCCCGCCTTCCTTTCTGGCCGGCAGTAGCTTCTAGAGAAAAAGTTTCCCTCCAGTTGCTGGTCCAAGCTATTGAATTTTCATATTACAGTATTTTTATATAGCATGTTTCTCAGCACAGCTGCCCTGAAGGCACTTAAACAAGAGTGAGCAGCAGTGCAATATTAGCACATAGATACACAATTGTTCAAGACAGGGGGAAAAAGGAAGAAGGGAAAATTCCAGAATACAATGAGGGAGAGGAAGCGAAAACTCCATAGTATGGATTAAAAAAAAACCTCTGGGGCTCCAACGTCAACTGG